AGGAATACCGTTGGGTAGTGAGTTGCCATCCCCTACTAGAGTAGAGAAAACTTTGCATAGTGCACAATGAACTGAAGATATTCTTTCCCCTTGGAGCAAAGCTCAGGCAGTTTTGCTCACAGTGTTTTACATAAAAGTGGGGTTGCCTAAGCTAAGTATTCCTTAGTTCTGATGTAAACCCACTGAATGGGAGTAGCCACCTGAGCCCATCTTAGGCACAACCCAGATGGGCTCTGAGGGACAAAGAAAACTGACCCAAACATGATGGCCTTGCTGTTTCTTGTGATTTCTTTTTTAAAAGATATGTTTATTTTATTCATAGAAGAACTGAGGTGTAGGTCAGAGGTGCTAGGGGTGAGAAGATTCAACACAGAAAGAGTAGGGAGCAGAAGAGGCAGGTCTACTGAAATACACTGCAAGGGGGAGTTGTGGGGGAACAGGAGATGTCTGCTGTGTCCTGTGGGTCACCTCCCTGGCCAGGGGTGGAACTCAGGCTGTGTTAGAAATGCCCCTGAGACCTAACCCTAAGCCAGGGAAGCCGCATCTTGTGACTTTTGTCTCTGAATCAAATTTCTTTATGTCTTCTGCCAAGATCCATGAAGTTGGCAAGCTAATTGGATATCTTACTACTACAGCAAAATATCACAATATTTAGTTATTGACAAATAATAAGGGAAGGAGGAGAAGGAATGAAATAGCATTTTAAGAGAGAAGAAATAGAACAGTAGTGGTCATTTATCTAGTCATTTATAACAATTTATTTAAAACATCACTTTTCCTTAAAAGGAACTCTGGAAACAAATTTCCAGAGTGGTAATATTAACTGAAATGCTGCTTTTACTTCTCAGATCTAATCTCTATATTAATAATATGATGCAAAATAAACTATAAAAAATAGCAATATTGTTGATTATGAATGTTTACAAACACATTAGACTTCTGGATGATTTATTGTTTATCATTCCTTTTTATTTGAAACAGAAAATCCATTACTGACAATTTTCACTTCACCAATGTTTCAAGATCTTAAATAGGTCACAAACACAGGTGTGGATGGAAGCACTAAGATAAAGAATTTAGTTTTCCATCAACGAGATAATTCATCTTTTTTTATATGTTGCTAAGATTACTTATAAATCTTTTCATAGGTAACTAGTTTTTACATTAAAAATAGTATGAAAAAAAGACAAATAATATGATTGAGGTTGAATTTTTAAAATTCAATAAAACCAGACTTGACCTTTATGTCTATACAAGACATTGTGCTAATAAAGAGAAGGGGGCAGTGAGATCAAAATAAAATTAAGATCACACAATTGAGATGGAAAAAAAATGTACAAAATGATGTAAAAATAAACTTATAAAATTAAAAAAAAAAAAAAAAGCACAGCACCGAGACATTAAAGCCACTTCAGCATGAGTTCAATCCCGCCCGGAGGTGACCTACATGGCACGGCAGACCTCTCCTGCCCCGCCCGCTGCTCCCCTCAGCAGTGTACTTCGTCAGTCGGCCTGTTCTGCTCCCCACTCTGTCTCTGGTGAATCCTCTCACTGCCCCTGCACCTCTGGCCTGTACCACAGTTCTGTATGCTTAAATAAATAAATCTTTAAAAAAATAAACTGGAGACTTTGATAATAGAAAAAAAATTACAATCACATGCTCTTTAGTTAATTGTTTTATTTTTTTTTTCAAAGTAATTACATTTTTGGAAGCATCACTCATAATATGATACTTATTTTTTCTCTGGCTCAACCTCCCTTTATCCCACAAAATTATATGACCTAGGAAATGTTGCATTATGGTTAAGTAGCAACAATAATAGAGGTGACTACTACACACAGAGGTGTCAGTTACAGTTCAGTTTCGTTGCAGATAACAGAAACCACTCTAGATAAAAAAATGTAATCAGTTTATTTGTAGTTGTGTTCACAGTATAACTAGAAAGAGAACTATGTGAATGTCAAGAACACTTTCTGTCTCCAGGATCAAGCATCCATTGTTGTGGTTCAAGAAACTTTCAAAATTATTGCCATCCACATTGTGTTTGCATGTACTCAACTTAATGTCTAGTTTAAGGAAGATCCAAAAAACTAAAGGTGAGTCACCTCCACCTCCACAGGCTCACTCCCAAGGGAATAAAAATTCTAATTGTATGTCAAACAAACTATGCCAGATTATTTTCCTGCCAATATGCTTGTGGATAGTGAAGCAATGTAGACATTTTCTACCCTCATCTCATGGCTGTAGAGTGAAAACTAGCTTTGCTTAACTTCTTGTTATCGTGGAAATTGACACTATCTTGGATAACAGAAAGCAGCCCTGAAAAGGACTGACCAGGAAAGGATTGTTTATAAACAGATCTGTAGCTATTTTGCAAATGACACCTGGAGTATTTATGCTTATTGTTTCACAATAAGTTAATGCTTATTTTAGACATATAACTCCACATGGAATGGAAGGTTGTTTTATATATTGATTTTCCTCAATTTAGTCTTTTCTATATGCAAGGAAGAGATCAGCCTTCAGAGAGTCCCACTATTATCATGAGAGAATGTTCTCCCATTTCATAAGTGTTTTATGATTATAGTAAGGCATTTTAGGTGCAATTTAACACTTAGTTTTTAAAGTATAGAAATATATGTTTAAAGTTGTCCTCAGATTTTATTTGTATATGATGGATATTTGTCCTCCCCTCGAAACTGAGGGTCAGTTTTATGAGGTACCTACCCATTCATCCCATTCACAGTGCTTATTCCCCCCTTTTTCTGATATCTCATGAGTTCCATTCCCTGTTAAAGGCATATATAGGGAGGTTTTATCTATTTCATAGAGCCAGTTTAGTGTTCTAGAAAAAATAGAAGGAAATAGAGAAAATCTCAGAACTCTATTTATACAGTGATACAAAGGAACTGAAAAATGATAGAAAGTTTAATAAGGCAATATTTATTATTAGAAAATTTTAGACAGTATTCTGTATGTTCCTTATTTTGTTTCTTATTATAAAAGTTTATATTCAATAAGATAGCATTGGATCAAAGGTTTAGAGTTTACCTTTTATTACAAAGACATTACAGAAATTGGGATATATTATATACATTCATTGTTCAAATGCTCTCTCTCTCTCTTAGCTCTAAATTTACATCTCCTCAACTCTGTAATACTTTGATATTATATCATTTGTCAGCCATATAACATGATCAAAACAGAAATTACAAGAAATGGTAATATCATTTTTTCATAATAAGTTCTGAAATATTGAAATTATTTTGCATGGATACTATGCAAATACTTTCATCTTTAATATGATGACATTATAAATTTAGATAACTTTTTTCTCTAGAAAACTATGACATATATAATGATATTATATGCAGATGCATCAATATATTAGTATCCAATGCTGCCATCTCCTTCTCTAATCAGATCAATGATGTTAGCTAGCAAATCGCTTTGCAGAGTAAATGCTTTATTTCCAAGCCTCCTTTGCAACAATTTGTGACCAAATGTCACAATTTCAGCCATTCAAATCATAGAAGAATTCAAAAGGAACATTTTTCCTTATTAATTTACTTCTTTCCCTAGAAGCAGATGTTGGGTGGTGGGGGGATAGGGGATGGAAGATCTTTTTTTTGATCATGTAATGAGTTTGACTATTTTTTGAGAATGGACAGAAGGAACCTGAGTTTCTGATGACAACACAGAGCACGGCAATCATACCAACTCAGAAATTTATGTAAGAGAAGAAAAACTTCTATTTTGCTGAGCAACTTATTTTTGAAATGCAACATGTATTTCCATTAATGATAGCATTTTAGGTCTTACATCAACCTTTTAATATTTTCTGTCTTGTGCCCTTTGAAATGTAATTCTGACAATTAACTGCCCCCTTTGAATTTCTTTCCTTCCTTATGCTGATTGTATAAGGGACATGCCAATGTTGGAGCTATCAAATATGTGTCCAGGAGGTGTATGGCATCGGAGAAATAGTACTAAGCAGGAACTACATAAAAATATAAAGTGGCATTGTTATTTTAACTCTGCCACTATTTAGCTCTGTGACCATATGCAAGTCCTTTAAGATTTCTGAATAGTAGTATTGATATTTAAATAAATATAGTTGGAGAAGATCACCTTTTTCATTCCTCCTCTAACTGTAGCATTATTTTATAGTGTGTGTGTATTTATATTATAGATAACTTGTTTACTTTTACAAAGAGTATTCATGTAGCCATAAAAATGTTAAGATGTTCCTTATTTTGTGGCGCGATACTGACATCCTTTGGTAAGGCTTTGATTGGTTCCAACTTAGTGTAGAGATAAACAGGGAGATGGGCAGTTAGGTGGTTGATAAATAAATAGAAACATGCATATGTGTTTCTGTTCCCATACATATTTGAGCATGAAACTCAAATTTCTGCGAAAAAAAAAGAAAAAGAAAAAAAGGTGATTATGTTAAGATCAAATACTTTAATAGCATTTATTGCCTACTTACGTTATGCATAAAATACATTTTCCTCTAAAATATAAAAATGCAAAGCAGATAAGACTAAACAGACAAGGCAGGCACACGGACATTCCGAAAGGGTGGTCCTCCTATGTTCTCCTGTGACGCCCAGGAACATAAATAAGAAATTTGGAGAATCAAGGAAAGAAAGTTCATGGGGGTTGGGGGGCAAAAAATTCAAATTTGCAACAACAACAGAAATCACTGTGGTAACGAGTCAGATCTGCTTGCCATTTGAGTTGGCAGTCCGTTAATACTTGGCTTTCGGGAGTCGGGCTGAGGATGGTGCAGGGATATATGTGTCAGAAAAAGTATCTATTTAAAAAAGAATTGCAAGAATCCGTCCTGGTCCAGAGATTGTATTACGGACACAGCCGGATTAGATGGGGCTGACTACCTTAGCCTTGAAACAGAAGAGTCTTTCTGCCCTGCGGGGGAGGGGACGCCTTTCATCCACAGCCCACCCCTCGGATGCGCCCTCCCCTCCGCATTCACTTGCAAATGGCTGTGTGCGAGCGAAAGCCAGCGCTTCCCCAGTCTCTAACCTTCCCATGACGAGTGCTGCAGCTCTATCAGCAGAACCTTTCTCTCCTTGTGTGGAAGGGTTCCCCCCACCCCCCTTTTCTTTTCTTTCTTTCTTTCTTCTTTTTTTTTTTCTTCTTCCCTTAATCAGAAGCAGTGAATGAAAGCCAATCAGAGTGAGCTCGCCCCGTTTTCCTCGGTTCCCTGCCGTCCAGAGTTAAAAGTGATGCTGAGAGAAAGCTTGAGTTAGATTGAAGTAGAACCAGGGGTAGAAAATAACAGGCGAAAACAAACAAAAAGGGGATCTAGTGACAATTTCTCCGGGGTGATTTCGGCTGGAACCAACTTCCGTTATCCAGAAGCTGATTTTAAAAAAGGTAGGACTTCATTTCTCTCTCTCTCTCTCTGTCTCTCTCTCTGTCTCTCTCTCTCTGTGTCTCTCTCTGTGTCTCTCTCTCAACTCCCTTAAGGTCCTTTATTTTCTTTCCCTGGGGGAGAAATGTTTGCTTTTGCGTTGTGTTCAGCAAATATTTCTAAATAATTATGTTTAATACCTAAATGTGTAAAACTATATGTTAGATCATTTGAAACAGCTGCTTTGAATATCTGTAGAACTAAAGTAAAAATGGGTAAATTGTGTATTATACTTAACAGAGGGTCATGATAATCGAGTTTGTGAATTCATTCATTCTGAACAGATGCTAAAAACATATTATGGAGTATAATTTGTAATGCTTATACTTGCTAATCTTCATTTTCAATATCAGTTGAAGAGATAACATTGTTGCTATGAACTCTAACATCTAACATTACTTTGTATTCCGTATGAATGGATTCACTCAGCACTTACATAGTCATAGTTCATCGTTCAATATAAAGAGAAATGACAGGCAGAAGACAGATTCCTTGAAACTGTCAGTGGTCACTAAGCATCTGCCTACATAAAATAGATTGACATTCATCAGAAATAGAATAAGCATAATTTCTATATTCTCATTTGTCAGAAATATGAGGGGGGAAGAAAAAAGGGGGGAGATTAAATGCATGTAGTCAGCGTTGCAGCATTTATTGTCTCTGCTGCAATAAAATCCATATTTTATGTGGTGTTAAATTAATGCAGCACATTGCAAGTCTAAATGCATGTCCCCAACAAGTAACTATTGATAGCACTGTAAGTATGGGCAAGTCTGAAAGTGTTTCTTCAGCCACTGCAATAAAAACCTACCATCTCCTTATCATTATAAAAGGGGGGTCTACTGTTGTCATAAAAGACAAACATTTTATAACTCTCCTATCATCTTTTACTTCCAAAAAGAAACAGATCTATTTGCTATCATCATGTTTCTTCATTCCTATAAAAGCTTCTGTTATTCAAAACAGCTCATCCATCACTTTCAGCTATATGGAAATACATTGTTTTTTCTTATTTCTTTCTTGAAGAATCTGTATGAAAAATAATTTGTCCCTCTGATGCTGACCACTGTTATACTTCAGTGCATATGTTAGTAGACTTTCCCCAACCACACCATCCCCCACTATCCTTTAAAACATAGCTACAAGAGCTTCTCTGTGGTGAATAACACTTGGCAAGAGTGTGCTCATTTTTTAGGTCTGGTATGGTGAGGATTTTTAATTAGTAGAACTTTCATGAAAACATTATGTCATTGACAAGAGCTCTAGGTTCATTTTTAGTTAAGGGGATAAAGAAAATGGAAAGAGGTTGTGTCATAGAGAAATAGGTAAATAATAAATTGTGTTGGTAATCTCCCTTGCTTCCTTTCCCCACAATGTAGTAACTGTGGCACATATGTAATCAATGTGCAATGCATAAGGAATTTGTGGCTGGGCTGGGGGCAGTGAAGGAATTGAAGAGGCACAGATACAAGCACAGTGTATCTGTGGCTTAGACAAACAGCAAATTGAAATCCATTCTGATGATAAACACAAAAAATGCTTCTTTCATTTCCTTTCTCTTTATTTTTTGGCTGTGATTTTAAAGTATGAGTCAATGTCTGCTTTCATTAAGTCAGATACTCCTTTGGTGTCAAATACTTGCTGCTAACAAATTGACTTTCCTGGTGAATGCCTCTGCCTTCACTGACTCCAGTCAAAGAATAGAATCCCATATACTTAGGTGTCTAGAAAAGAAGAAGAAACAGGGTAATAGGAAAAGAGCATATATGTAGGTGACATCTAAGTACATATGCATATGTGAATGGTTGTGGCTATATTTGTGGGACCTTGACAGTGCTTCAGGTGATTGTTCCTAGGCATTTGTAAAAACTAGTTGTTTATTGATAAGAGTCATAGTAAACAGCTATTCAATCTACCTTTACACTGTTATATTTTAACTACCATTTCCTTTTAAAAACAGAAAAAAAGAACAGAGAATTGATTTTCTAGCTACAGAGAGATTTTTAGCACATTATGTTAAAAGTTAGTGTATTTTCTGAAGAGGGGATGATATATTTTTTTTCATGTTGAAAAGAGAACATTTGAGATGAAAAGGTGAATTCCCAAATATGTCATCTTGCTCAGCTGTAGAATACATTTCTTGGTCTTTACTTAATTTTCCCTAGAAGCAAACAATGTGGTAGAACACATTAGTTGGGAGATTTTTGAGTCTGTGACTTATTTCCTACATTTCTTAACCTACTTTGCAGCAAGTGATAGCACTCTGTCCTACTGGAATATGTCATTTTTATACCACATCATTCCGCTAGGCTGTAGCCTAAGAGCAGCCTTAGCTCCAATCATGCTGATTCAGCAGCAAAGTAACCGTATTCCGGTTCAGTGTTATTATCAGCAATAGTGTTGCATAGGAAGCAATTAATACCAATCAAAGATATAAAACCAATAACCCTGCATCATCTAGCTCTGGGGTTTCCAAAGTATAAGTCACAAGATAGTCTCATCTCTACTATGTAAACCTAGTCTGATACTGTGGCTACATTAAAAATGCTGGTAAAATCTTGAAATAAAGTAACAAAAAGAGAAGTATCTAAATTTTTTATGCCTATTAATGTAATTTTATGCAAAAATTTAAATTTCAGGTCTATGTTTGAAACTACTTTTGATGAATCAAAATTGTTATCTGTGATAGGATTTTCAAAAAGTCACTTTTCTACCATGTTATATTTAATGATGGTATCTAAAAATAAACTCAATTTGAAAACCAAGTCAAAGGAAGGTTCCCCTAAGCCATGGTGATTTGATGAAGCATGGAACACAGGTTGCATGTTCCTCCTTATACATATAAAAAAAAAATCAGTATAAGGAATTACATCCATGCTTATTTGAGAAATGAAAGCGAACTCAGGAAATTCTATTTATGTTTCTTTGCCATTTTATTAAGATAAATGAGTTGGCCAAGATTTTTATTTTGTCATAATTCCAAAGACTTAAAATAACAAAAATGTCCCAAATTTAGACATTTTAAAACAGGCCTTTTCTAGTCAAAGTACTTGGATTAGATTACAGAACTCTAAAATAGCAATCGAGGCTTCTTTTCCCAATAAATTCAGCATCTCAAAATGATAGGTTTATTTTTCCATATATAAAAACTGGAAAATTTCAGCAACCAACAAGGAGTGCTATTTTTTAAAGATAACAGTATCGGTTCAGGGTGACCTCCGGCCTCTTCTTCTTTCCTTGTTCTGCAACAGCTTCACCTCACTTGACATTTTAGTATGGGACCTTGAGCCTTTTTAAATCTAGCTGTATGGGCTTTCATAAGAGATTTTAAAGCATATGAAGACTTTGTGCCTTTTTTATCACTACTCAATCCAACAAAATCAAGAGATAAACATTGTAGGAAGATCTCATTATTTACATTGAAGTTGTAGAGTCTGGGAATATATTATCTTTAATACAAGGACAATGTAGAACAGTGAACTAATTAGTTCAAGATTTTATTTTCAATATCAATATTACTTAACTCTTTATAACTGGTACAACTTTTCACAAAAATACTTGATTAAAAAAAAATAGAGTTGCTTTGTTTTCACCAATCTCATATATTTCATTTCTCTCTTGCAATGTATTATTGGTTTATCCATTAAGAGACATTTGTTAGACATTATTCTCTACTCGTGATGGATTTTAAGAAAGGAAAAGCTCACAAATGAGTGAGAGTGAATGAAAAAACATTTTGCATCCTTTTAGGAAATAAAATGGAGCATTCATTGAAAATAATGTGTGTCTGCTGAAATGCTTTTGTATAAAAATCCCTGGAGTATAGGGAGATATTTCCTTAGAGAGTTTGTCAGTAACAGTATATGGCATTTGACCAAACCACGTGATGCCAATTTTTAATTCCCTCCCATTTTTTTTTTAAAGAAAGCAGCCTTTATCCTCCTGTTCTAAATGCTGCAGAAATATGAACTTCAATAACATTTCAGACTTCATGACAAGATTATCAATAAGCTCTAAACTGTAACACAACATTGCTTAACATCAGGAAATTCAGCATTAAAGATATTTAAATACTCAAGAGTCCTGTTGATGACTAGAAATTTAGCCTCTCTCTCCCACTCCCTTTCCTTCTTTCCCCCCTCCAGCCCTTCCTCCTCCATCTCTAAGTCTTTCCCTCTTTTTTGATAATTACAAAGTCCTTGCACACATTTCCCATGAGCAATTTTATGTTATCCTACATGGGATAATATTTCCATGTATCTTATGATTTTTATGGCCAATATACTGTCATCTGCCACATTGTACATGGGATTTATGACATTATCCTTTGCATTTATAACATAAAGTATATGATAGTTCAGTTAGCTTGAACATGTGCTTAAAAATGAAAACAATACTTAGAGATAGTGTAACACCTATGTTTTTAAGGAATGGAATAGGTCCAATGTAGATTATTGCACAGGCAAGCAAACTATGGGAAATTCAGTATTTATTAGTAAAATAACTTCTTAAAGGTGTCAAAAATGTAGAATGCATAGACTTGAGTTATTGTAGTCAGTATATCAGATATTGATTAAGAATCTTGGCTGATTTACTATAACAGAGGATATTGAAACTATTCGATAGAACCTTGACATTAAAAGTAAATGAAACATAAACTGCATATTTCCAGAAGGTAAATTTTCTTCAAGTATTTTGAGTCTTCATTGTCACAAGATAGAAATAGTACCAGTGTGTAATCTAAAAATGTAAACTAACAGATAATGAGCAAATATCTCTCTTGGGTATTGTGTGGTAAACAATTAACATGTTCCTTCTTGTATCCATTTGAAATTTTGGGAAACATAAATTGCAATAATAATCAAGTTAATCAAGTGTGTGTTAAGTTAAAATAACCAGTAACATAAAGTAAATGCTTTCACTTGGATTATTCTGGGAATTATCTGCAATTTTCACATAGTTT